GAGGGTGTTTTAAGAGTGTGCGGCCACCTTAAGAGGGTGTGCGGCCGCACTCACTTCCAACACGAAGAACATGTCTATTTTTGCACACTTAAGGCCTAGATAGAGGGGTCTTTCATGAATTGAAAGCTAGGGGAAGAAGTACTCACGTTCTTGAAGCTTTGGAAGGTTCAAAGTTGGAGAAACTTGAGAGAATAGAGTTGTGTGCTGCCTAGGTGCTAAAGGAATGAAAAGAAGGAGGCTATCCTTTATATAGGGGTAAGGGTGCTGCCCAAAAGTGAGTGTGCTGCCAAGGGAGTGGGTGTGCGGCCGCACACCCATGTGTACGGCCGTACACTCCTCCAAGAGGTGTGTATGGCCCGGTTTCCTCACTATGTGGCATGATGACTCATTCCTAATATCAACCTTGGTCAAGTTTAAGCTTAGAACACTTAAATGAACCCTTAGATAGTACCAGAAATCGACAAAACAAGTTGAATAATGATTGAATTGATTAATTGTACAAGATTGAAGTTTCCGGGTTGTCACACCCTTTGGTCAAGATTTGGTCAAACTTAACAAACTAACCGAGTCTACCCAGCCTCGTACGAGCGGCGTACTTCGTTCGACCGAGGAGTCGGGGCGAAGACCGCGTACGCGCATCGTACCATTTGGTACGCCCAACGTATGCACTTGGTCAGCCAACCAACTTATTAAGTGTGTAATACATCAAGACTTTTTGTCCAAAACCAAATCTAAGTCCCAAATGTTATCCTTGACCATAAAGTTTCCAACTTTATGGTCTAGCATGGTCATTAAGTGCTTAACACTAAAAACCCCAACGTCTTAAGCCAAGACAACCAAAATCATGCATGGGGAAGAACTAAGAGCCAAGATCATATTTTTATCACTCCAAGTACCCTAAAACGTCCAGAAGGACAGCTTATTGGGTCTAGGGTAGCTCATACCCAAAAGGAGCAAGAATATGGGGCTAATAAGCATAAACTTGAACATAAGCAAGATTTAGTGATAGGACCATCAAGTTCAAAACTTTATACCTCAAAATGAAGCTTGGAGGTGAGGTGTTCCTGGATCCATAAGGTCTCGATCTTCCAAGTTGGTGCTTCTATCTTCACCTTGCTTCAAGGCACCACAAACACACACTTTTGAGCTCAAAGGAACACACATAGGAGATTAGGGTTGCAATGGACAGAATGAGGGTTGGAGGCTGGTGAGGGAGTGAGCATTTGAGAGTTAATGGTATTTATATAGGGTCCAAACCCTAAAAATTAGGATTTGAAGATCTCGCACATACGTGATACGCCCAACATACGTGAGCTCGTCTTAAAACTACAAAAATGCGTCTTAAAACTACAAAAATGCCACTATGGGCTATTTTGCAAGCTTTCTCATACACAAGGGCTAAAATGTAATAACTCTTTATACTTAGGGTTAAAATTGAAAATACCTCATCATCAGAATGTTACAACCACCACCACCGCCAATACCTCACTACCACCACCGCCACCGCTACTACCGCCACCACTACCATCACTATTATCACCTACCACCACTACTACCACCGTTGGCACCACCACCACCACTACCACCATCGCTGCCACCATCACCACCACTGTCGTCGTCGCCGCCACTGTCAAGATTTACTATTTTTATAATTTATATAATGTATCTTTACATATAAGATAAAAATAAAGTAAAATTAAGCAAAATAGACGGAAAATATAATTCTATCATTTTAACATGGATTCCATTTCCATTTTTTGCTAACCAAACGAAATCTAAAATTAATTTCAATTCCATTTCTTGCTAACCAAATGAGATATGAAATTAGATTCAAATTCCTGACAGATTTTTTTTTCCAATTCGAATTGTAATTCCTTTATAAACAATCTACGAACCAAACAACACCTAAGAGTTTTTCATAAAAGAAAAAGTTCAAAATGAAGTTTAATCCGAAAGAAAACAATATAAAGTCTTTGATTAACCCTTAATTTAAAATAATTTTATGGTAATAAAAGTGGATAAGATAATGTTTTACTTCACGAAAATAAGAAAATACGATCATTTTTCTAGTGTTGACTTTTGACTTTTTGTACTTCCCGTTTTATTTATTGGAGGGCCTTCCATTGTTCTTTCTCTCCCACTCACTATATTGAAACCCTAACTCCCAAATTTTACACAATTTTATCGATTCCAAAGGGGAGCAGATTAAATTCTCGAGAATAAGAATGCAACATCAGAGGCTGAAGCAACAACAGCAACAAGCATTGATGCAGCACGCTCTCCTTCAACAACAATCTCTTTATCATCCCGGCCTCTTAGCTCCTCCCCAGGTTCGCACGCACATTTTTCAGACTCTATAATATGTCTTCACAGATACGAATGCTATGTTTTTGTTTGTAAATGTCGTCAGTTGTGAGTTTAGGGTTCTGATTTCGTTTATTGATTATCAATTGATGATCGCGGGTATGGAAAATTTTGTTAGCCCCGTTAATTTCTAGGGAATTCGGATTACTTGCATGGTTTTTTGTGAAATGTAACATTTTCAAATCGTTTTTGTCTCAATCGAATTTTTGAGACCATGTTGTCAATTTCTTGTAACTTTGTGAAAATGACATGATTTGAATTGTTTGTTAGATTGAGGCTGTCAGATGTGAATTACAAGCTACATTGGTCTTCTATTCAGCTAGGCTATGATAGTTTACCTACTACAAAGATCGGTCCATGTTTATCCAGTCATATTCCCATTTTGTTAGACAGTTGAATGATGTATTAAGTAAACAGATCATGGGTGTACTATGTAATTCACTTTTTCCACCAGCTTCACATGCCATCAATGATGCATATTGTTTAAAGTGGAATTGATATAGTTGCTATTAGTGTGTTTTAACTGTCTCATTTGTTTCTCCATCTTTGGTATAAGTGCTAAATCTTCTTGCTTGCTCCACTAGATATCATTGTTGATATGAACTTTACTCCTCCTAGTCTATGCTAAAATAAGTAACGCCTTTAATGCTGTTGAAATGAACTTTGCTGCTCCTATTCTATACCAAAGATAATCCAAGGATTGTTATTACAAAATGACTCGCATGCTCCTTGAATTTTGGTTCTTGGAAAAGACCAGTTCAAATTTCCTGGAAACGATTTTCTCTACTTCTAGCTACTGGGATTTTTTTTCTTTTTTTATATAAATCTTAGCTTTCTATCGTAACTTTTTTTTTTCTTTCACTTTTTCCATTTTGCAGATCGAGCCAATTCCAAGTGGAAATCTGCCTCCTGGGTTTGATCCAAATACATGCCGCAGTGTGTGAGTGGTTTACAAACAATTGTGTACTTTATTTTTCTTCTTTTCCTATAAACAGCATGAAAGCCTTGTAATACTCTCATTATAGTGCACACCTGAAGTGCACAATGCTTGTATTGTTATTGCCTTATTCATAACTGGAAGATTCTTTAGCTAAAATTATTTCTTGAATGCAGGTATGTGGGTAACATTCATACACAAGTTACTGAACCACTTCTTCAAGAGGTTTTTGCAAGCACTGGTCCTGTTGAAGGCTGCAAACTCATAAGAAAAGATAAGGTAAATGGGATCAATGTTTATTCTTTTTAATTTTTGTATAATTAGCTACACAGATAATAACATCTCCTGTTCTTTTCTACCACCCAGTCATCTTATGGATTCATCCACTACTTTGACCGTAGATCAGCTGCACTTGCTATAGTATCTCTAAATGGAAGGCATTTGTAAGTGTTTCATAATTTCTGTTTTTCACCTCAAAAATCTAACTCTTATCAATTTCATCCACAGATTTGGGCAGCCTATTAAAGTCAATTGGGCATATGCCAGTGGCCAGAGGGAGGATACCTCAGGTTTTACTTATTTTCACCTCTAACTAGTTTACTGTTATTAAAACAGTCAATTAATACGATAACATTACTACCTTTTTTTTCAGGTCACTACAATATATTCGTAGGTGATCTTAGCCCTGAAGTTACAGATGCTATGCTGTTTGCTTGCTTCTCTGCCTATGCTAGTTGCTCGTAAGCACATCTCTCTCTCTCTCTCTCTCTCTCTCTCTCTCTCTTACACACACTGATACACTTCTTGTGTGTGTGTGTGTGTGTGTGTTGGTTGATTCTAGGGATGCAAGGGTAATGTGGGACCAGAAAACGGGCCGTTCACGAGGTTTTGGCTTTGTTTCTTTTCGTGATCAACAGGTTAGATTTTCATTTTTTCTATTATATCCCAAGTTTTTAATTTGAGTTTTGTATTGAAGAAGTTATGATCTGAGTTTGTTGATTTCTGTTTAGGATGCTCAAAGTGCTATAAATGACTTAACGGGTAAGACTGATGAAAAACATTAATTCCTTCCATGATTAAATAATTATCATTTATCAAAAAACTAAAAATGTAAGTTTTCAGGTAAGTGGCTTGGGAGTAGGCAAATACGCTGCAACTGGGCCACAAAAGGTGCTGGTACTAGTGATGAAAAACAAGCTTCAGATTCCTCCAAAAGTGTAGTCGAGTTAACTAATGGAACTTCAGGTATTAATATTATATATAAATATATAATAATTAATAATTAATAAATAGTAATATTTTCTTATTTTTGCAGAGGATGGTAAAGAGCTTGGTAACAGTGAGGCACCCGAGAATAACCCACAGTACACGACTGTTTTTGTTGGCAACCTTGCCCCCGAAGTAATTAGTTATTTTATTATATTATTATTAAGACAAAACGAGAATAAAGAAATAACAAAATAAATTGAACTTAAAATTGTTACAGGTGACCCAGCTTGAGCTTCATCGGCATTTCCATTCGATTGGTGCTGGTGTAATTGAGGAAGTGAGACTGCAACGCGATAAAGGATTTGGTTTTGTGAGATACAGTAATCATGGGGAGGCCGCTCTCGCTATTCAAATGGGCAACACACAATCCGTTTTATATGGTAAACAAATTAAGGTATGTATTTTTTATTTTTATTTTTAAAAAATAATATTTAATACCCGAATATTATATAATACTATAATATTTGTTGATTTTTGTAGTGCTCATGGGGAAGCAAGCCGACTCCTCCGGGAACAAGTTCAAATCCGTTACCGGAACCGGCACCTGCACCGATGCTATCGGCGGTTGATTTGTTGGCGTATGAGCGACAGCTGGCGATGAGTAAGATGGGATTGGGTGTGGGAGGGGTGCATGGTCCGCCTATGATGGGGCAGCATCCTTTTAAACAAATGGGAATGGGAATGGGAATGGGTGGTGCTGCCGGAGCAAGTCAGGCCATATATGACGGTGGTTTTCAGAGCATTGCTGCCGCCCAACAACTCATGTATTATCAGTGAGAGGACGAGTCACTAGTGCTGTTGACCTTTCTTTCTTTTTTAAATCTCGCTGGCCTTTACACGTGCCTTTGCAGATATTGTTTTTGAGATTTTTAGGAGGCTTTGTGTTTTTTTTTTTTTTTTTTTTTTTTTTTTTTTTTTTTTTCTATCTCCTGATTGGGAGATTGTTGTCGTATTTCTATGTTGATACATACCATGTAATGTTTAATTTTACCTGTTTAATCAATCATCGTTTGTGCTATTTATATTGTCAAAACCTAACTAAACTATGGATATACATTTATGGTTGAAACGACCAAAATGCCATTACTACTACAGCTTCATTTGTTGTATTCCTACTATCATAGCAATGCATCTCATGCTAAAAAAATAATAGATTTTGGAAGTTGGATGCAAAAAACAAACTCTTTAAATTACCGTTGCATATTTAGAATTAGCAAAAGTCCATGGACTAGCATGGTAATTTACACTTATTGTTAACCATCTTTTTAGATTGATGCAATCTAGGATCTGGCCATCTGCCGCTTAGTGCTGAACTTAAAAATCAGGATTAGCCATCAGGTTCTGGTGTTAGATCTCAGGTTAGTAGATCAATCATCAGGGCCTTGGTGCTAGATCTAGATTTGTTCTGTGGTGTAATGATCGCTAGTAAGTTTCCCTCTTGAATCCTAGTCACAATCACAAAAAAAAAAGATCATTAGAATTGCCCTAGAGCATGTCCCCAAGAACAGGTTCCGACAATCAAATCAGATCGGTATGGAATAAGGAGATGGTTTCTCCTAGCCAGAGAGAATCATCTTGGTCTAGAGAGGATGTATGTGTGAAGGAGAGAAAGGGCTAAAGTTTGGAGATTAGAGATCCCTCTACATGGCTGCTGGAGGGCTTTATTTATAGCTAATGAAGGAACAAAGAGAAGACCATAAAGTGTTGTCCAACTTAGCCAAACGTTATCCCTCTTGGCTAGTGTCGCTCTGCTTGGCAGGTGTTGCTCTGCTCGGCTCAACACGTGTTCAACTTAGCAAGTTCAATCATCTTAGTTAGGTCATGTTAATGGACCTAACACTAAGGTCCTACTAATGGATCTAACACCAAGGTGATTAGACTTGACAAGTTCAATCAACTTGGTTAGGTCATGATTAAGAGGGTGTGAGAGATTTCATTTTGAAGTTGAAAATGACTTTTGCCAAAAAGGATTTATTGACTTATGAAGGTGGGAAAATGAGTTTTTAAAAAAGTGTTTGAATTAGCTTTTTAGTAGCAAAAGTTAATAAGTCAATAAATTAAAAAGTGTTTGGCTGGAAATTGTCTTTTGTTTGTTTTTTTTTTGTTTTTTTTTTTAATCTTAATAAGTTATAAGTCGTTTTAAACAGTCACAATTTGTTACTTCTTAAAAACTCTCTTTCAAAGGCTAAACAAAAATGAGTTTTAAAAGTCATTATTAAGTAACCAAACATTTTTTTTTAACTTATTAATTTTTCACGAAGTCAGCAAGTTAATAAAGAGTTTTTAGATGAACACCCAAACACCCTCTAAGATTTTGATGCTGTTGGTCTATTAGTATGACCTAACCAAGGTGGTTGAACTTGCCACGATGAACATCACTGGTCGGACAAGACAACATTTTCCGAATAGAGCAACACTTGTCGATGAGAGCAATAGTAACCGAGCAGCACAACAATGGATGAGTTGGCAACACTTTATAGTCTCCTCATTCTCTTCACCATGTGGACGGATCTCCATCTCTATACTTTATCCCTTTCTCTCCCTCACACATACACCCTCTTTAGACAAAGATGGTTCTTTCCAACCAGGAGAATCCATCTTCTTATTCCATACTCCATACTGATCTGACTTGATTGCAAGAGCTTGCTCTCGGGACACATGCTATGGGGCGGTTCTAACGATCTTCTTCTATGATTGTGACTAGGATTTAAGACAGGAATTCACTAGCGATCATTACACCCTGAAACCAAATATAGATCTAGCACTAAGACCTAATGAATGATCCAAATCTAACACCAGGACGTGATGACTAATTATGATCCAGATCCAACACTAAGACATGATGATCTAATCCTAGATTGCATCATAGATAAACACATATCCATAACCTTAATGATAACAAATCGACTATGGAAACAATTATGTACCAAATATTCCCCTCAAGCCATAAATGAAGAAGCCTTACACATCTATTGTGTGCTGTACTATAACTGAGTTAATCTAGATTTAAACCATATTCATTATCACTAAGTAAATAACAAAACGTCGGGTTGTAATTATTTTGGGATCCACTCATCCTTAAGAATTCAATAATATCAAGTAGAGGCCACATGTCTTTGTTTGACCGTTTGAAGTACGATTGATAAATTCGGTTAAACATTTTTGCAAACCAATTCAGTCGAGTTATTAATATTTGTAGTATTGATAAAAGTCATTAAACTAATGGATTTCTTTTTTTTGTTTTTAGGCCAAATCAAACTGATTCAAAGAAATATATTATGTTTTGGTGTTAAAATCGATTCCAACTATATTTCAAAACGAATATCTTTTTTAATTAATGTTAATACTTGATAGATAGTAACACATAAAAATGGTGTTATACTCTTCTTTTTTTACGTCAAAACACTAGACTTCTTTCTTTTTACATAGGGATGACAAAAAAGCTTGAACCTGACGGGGAAACCCGAAGCCCGATCATTTCAGGTCGGATAACGGGTCGTTAGCGGGTTTTTATCGGGTTCGGAGCAGTGAGTGGGTTATCAACGCCCCGTCTCTCTCTCTCTCTCTCTATATATATATATATATATATATATATATATATATATATATATATATATATATATATATGTTCAAATGCTTTTGATTGCATGCAAGCAAAGATAAAATATTTACTTTGGAAAATCCTTTTAATTATTAACAATCTGGCATGAATGATCGTTTTTTATGTATCGACATATTACAGTAGACTTAAATCAAATGATTTGTAATATAACAACGTCCAATTTATTTTATTAAAGTGATGCGTCATATTTTTAATTTAAAAGGGAGGCTAGAACATGTATTTTTTATAAGACACCAGGGTATCCTAAACCGAAATAAAAATTTCATTATGAAATATGAAGTGTTGTAAATCCGATAAGATACCCGAAACCCGATGGGGCGCCCCGATAAGATACCCGAAAAATATCGGGACGGATTTGGGAAACCATGCCCCGTCCCGAACCCGCCTCGTTGTCATTCTTATTTTTACACATGAAATGTTATATATTTAACATAAAAATAAAGAATAAATTAATAACAAATATTATTATAAAAATCTTATTGGGAGCTTTAAAATGAACTTAAAAGTGGTAGTAAATTACATATTATAACTGTTGTATTTCTATAAAATAACAAAATAAAAAATAAATTATTTTATATGTTAAAGAGTAAATTACACAAATGGTCATTTACCTTTACATTTTTTTTTCTTTTTTGAAATGGTCCTTATGATTTTTTTTCGATCCTTACGAAACAAACCGTACACATAAATGACCCTTATGACTAACTTTGTTAACATATTCTGTTAACTGTATGTGAAAAGACGAAAATGCTATTTAATTTTTTATATTTATTGAATTTGAAATTAAGAAGAAAAAGTGGGTCCCACCTCTCTCTCTCTCTCTTGAGTTGGCCAGACATGTAAAAGCTATTGACTTTTTGAAGCTATTTCTTTATCTATAAATATAACCCTTTCCTATAGAGAATATCGATCGATCACATCAGGATAAAGTCAAGTATTATTATGGAAGTGAGAAGAATGAACATGAAGATGAGAGCTCATGAAAGAAGGATGACGATGATATCAAGATCGAAAACTAGGAGCAAAAATTTCAGTTTGGAATCAATGGCTGTGCTGGTAGGAAAGAACAAAGGTGTTTGGGATATGCGTTTATATATGTGTTTGGATTGATCTAGTTTCGATTGAAATCAGGAAGGATTTTAAGGTCCGATTTTCAAGCTCCAATTTCAGGGGTTAGAGGAGATGGATATGAAAGCAGGTCCAACAGAAGTGACAATAAGGTTTGTCCGACGACGATTTCATGGATTTCACACACATATGCTCTCGATTCTTTTTATTATCTGTTTCCGATTTCTTTTTTTTTTCTACAATGTATTGTCACTATCACTAAATCGCTGCTGCAACTCTCTTGTTTCCACCACCAATCCCTTGTTGAACAACCTCCACCGCCACCACTCTTCTTTCTCCCAAAAATTCTCTGGTTACTGCTATAAACACTTAGCAGTTGCAATAACAGGGAAGAAGGAAAACTGATCTAGGGCGAGAGAGAGAGAGAGAGAGAGAGAGAGAGAGAGAGAGAGAGAGAGAGAGAGAAAGAGATGGTGGACTCCCGTGATGAGAGAAAAAGGTCCGTTGAGATGTGGAGGAGGGTGGCAATGAAGTTGAGTCCAGATAGTCGACAAGATAACACCCAGCTCCATCGTTTTTTGCCTCACGGTTCAGGTTTCAAAACACTACTCAAATATATGTTTCGATTTCGGAATTTGTCAACTATGTTAGTCATAACGGCTATTTGTGTGCAAGGTTTGCTCCTTAGGGGAAAAAGTTTCGTAAGGACCATTTTAGAAAAAAACCGTAAAGCTAAAGGACTATTTATGTAATTTACTCTATATTAAAATAATAATATATGTTTTTTGAGAAAATGACAAAAATAGCCAAAGATACTAATCACTTTGTGGAAAATAGCCAAAAAAAATTGAAATTGCAAAAATGGCCACAAAAATCGCAGATGGAAATGGTCCATCTGCGATTTGCACATTCCATCTGCGAATATACAAGTGGCTAAAGCACAAGTGTGCTTTAGCCACTTGTACATTCGCAGGTGGGTATTTTTTATAATTTTTTT